AGGAGGATGAGGAGGACAGCAAGCAAAATGGCCAGAGGTCTCTTGGATGCTTCTCGGAGCCTCTTGGGGTATCTCTTGGGCGTCTTGGGACGTCTTGGGGGTCTCTTGGCGGTCGTAGGGGGCTCTTCGGCCTCTTGGGTGCCTCGGGGGGGCCTCTTGGGGCCGCTTGGGATCCTTTCGGGGGCCTCCTGGGGGCCTTTTGGGGCCTCTTGGGGCCATCTTGAGGTCATCTTGGGACCTCGTGGGGCCTCCTGGGCGCTTCTTTGGGACATCTTGGAGGAGATCGGTCAACGAAGGGGGGGTCCTCAATTACGCCCCCCCCCCCCCCCCCCCCCCAGGATGCCAAAATGGGGCCAAAACCATCGTAAAACCAATTATTTTTGCTTCCTCGCCGAGGCCGTCTTGGACGCTCTAACTACCCGCGCCCCCCCCCGTCCAGGTCTATGGGCAGGGGGTAGGGGGAGGGGTAAACCCCTCCCCGAAGGGGAAGAAGGAGGGGTGGAAGAGGAAACGTCCTAAACCACCTACGCCCAGAGGGCTGGTGGGATTACCCTTCTCCTTAGGGCCTATAGGGGCCTCTTGGGGGTATCTTGGAACATCTGGGGGGTCGTTGGGCTGTCTTCAGCCGTCCTGAAGCCGAAAGCAAGTGCAGACAACATAGTCCGTAAGGGCTTCGCCCCATGCCGCCGGCCCCCTGTCTCGGATAATGGGATGCAAAAGCTAAATCATGAGGTCTGGGCGCCTTCGTGAAGCAGTGTCGGGACCTGTTTGTTTTTCGACCCTGACTCTACGGATCTGTGTCACGGGTGCCACCGAATTTCAGAGATGTGGTAAATCCCTTGTGTTTTTGGACCCTGACCCTACGGATCTGCATGAGGGGTGCCGCCGAATTTCAGCAATGTGGCAAATCCCCGCTGTTTTTGGACCCTGACCCTGCCGATCTGCGTGAGGGGTGCCGCCGAATTTCAGCAATGTGGCAAATCCCTTGTGTTTTTGGACCCTGACCCTGCCGATCTGTATAAGGGGTGCCACCGAATTTCAGAAATGTGGCAAATCCCGTGTGTTTTTGGACCCTGACCCCGCCGATCTGCGTGAGGGGTGCCACCGAATTTCAGGCATGTGGCAAATCCCGTGTGTTTTTGGACCTTGACCCCGCCGATCTGCGTGAGGGGTGCCACCGAATTTCAGGCATGTGGCAAATCCCTTGTGTTTTTGGACCCTGACCCCGCCGATCTGCGTGAGGGGTGTAAACTTTTACACCCCCAGCAATTCAGAGCATACGCTCAGGGCGTGGTAAAAATTACCGTTTTGGGCCCCCCTCGCGCGGTCCATCAACAAGGAACAGTAAGCAGCAAGAAGCAGAAATGTAACAGTGGAAATTGGAAGCTGCAACTGGTACAGGAAACTGCGAACCTTAGGCCTACAGCCTGGTGGCCCCACAAGGGGGCCGGCGGATTTGAATGGGTGGAGTTTTTGGAGGCTCGCGGCGAGGAGGGCTCGCCAATGACAAAAAACCAGACACCTTAGAGCTACCAGGCAGCTGACGTGCATTCTGACATGCCGAGTTGCCGACTGCAGGGTGGAGGATCTCGCAACAATCGGTTTCACTACAGCGGAAGCGACAGCGTGTAGTATAATAGGTGCTTCCGTTGGTCTATTGTCAGCCGGGCTGCAAGAGTAGGAAGCAGGTGATCGCAGTTTTTTCTCTTCTGCTCCTGTTGCGATCTTGGTGTTTGTGCTGTGCGCAGGATCATAGGTAGTTCAGAAATGGCGTCCCTTCCTGACCCCCCCCAAACATTGGGTCGAAGACGCCTACGGCGAACCACCGCCGCCACCTGCCTCATGGCAGTGCTTGTGTGGTGAAATGTCAAGCGAATGTGCAGCCATTCTATTGGGCTGCATGTTCTTGCAGTGCTGAAGCCACTGGGGGAACCACTGGGGAGTGGCGTGGTCATGTGGGGTCATGTCGGGTACTTCTTGGACCATGTTGGTCTTTTGGAGGGCCTCTTGGGGCTCTCTCGGGCCACTTTTGGGCGGCTTTCTTGGAGCGTCGTGGGGTGCTCTCGGGCCGCCCGGCGCTCTCGGAAACAGCCTTGGGGGCCCGTCTGGAACGTTTCGGGGGCTTCGCTTGGCTCACTGGGACTGTCTCGGGACTGTTTTTAGGAGGAGGAGGAGGAGGAGGAGGAGGAGGAGGAGGAGGAGGAGGAGGAGGAGGAGAGGAGGAGGAGGAGGAGAGGAGGAGTAAAAGGAGGATGAGTACAAGTAGGGGAGGAGGAGGAGGAGGAGAGGAGGAGGGGAGGAGGAGGAGGAGGAGGAGGAGAGGAGGAGGACAAGGAGGAGGAGGAGGAGGACAAGGAGGGAGGAGGAGGAGGAGGAGGAGGAGGAGGAGGAGGAGGAGGGGTCATTTTGGGCGGTCTCAGGGTCCCCCCTTGGGGCCCCCGCTGCGGGGCATCTTCGGCCGCCTTGCGGTGATCTTTTGGGGGCCCCTTGGGCGTCCCTGGTGTTTTGGAAGCCTGGAAAGACGAGAATCGCAGGCCTAGAGATTGACACCAACACCAATATCGGCGGTGTGCATCCACCGAGGGATCGGTGATGGTGGTAATATTCTGGCTTCCAAGGTGGCCGGTGATTTGACCCTCCTGGGGGGGGCTGTCCCGCCACCGTGTCCAGGTCGTGGACACGAGGTCCCTCGGAGGCCTCTTGGGGTCTCTCGGGGAGCCTCTTGGGAGCCTCTGGGTGAAGCCTCTGGGAAGCCTTTTGTGGGCCTCTGGAGAGCCTGTTGGAAGTCTCTTGGGGCCTCGTGGGTGAGTCTTGGGCGCCTCTGGGGACCCCTTGGGGCATCTTGAGGGCCTCTTGGCAGTCTCGGGGGCCATCTCGGGAGAAAGGGATCGAAATGTCAGTTCGAGTTGCCCCTCTTGGGCCTCTTTTGATGTTGTGTTGGGGTCCGCTTGGGACCTCATGGGGATCCCTGGGGCCGTCTCAGGGCGACCTTAGGGGCCTCTTGGGCCGTCCTAGGTTCCCTTAAGACCCAAAAGTGGAGTGTTTCTTGATACCATATATAAGAGTTGTACGTTTCGATGGTTTTGGCTCTTTGGCTGGCCCCTGGGGCCCCCAGAACTGCCCGAAACGTGCCCAAGAGGGCTCCAGAACGGTCCCGGATGCCCTAGGCCATGTCGGACACGTGAAATTTCAACCATGCTATTGAGGATTTTGAGAGCGTCGCGCAAGCCGCTCCGCTAGCGCCCGAGAGCCCCTATGAATCCGTGTCCCGAGCCCCTTCAAGAATGTTCACAGTATTCTGCACAGAGAACTTGGAGGGACTCGAGGACACTCCTCTTTGTGCCTTGGGGCGCGGTGGCGGATCACTGCAGCGGTTCGATTTGTCAGATCGATGTATGTGTTTAGATCTTTCCGCAAGTAGGTGCCAATGCGTATCCGTGCATCTTGGCCTTGATTGCATGATGACTTGGTCGCCAGTTCCAGCTTGCAACACAGCATCATGACACCATCGAGGCGTTGTGTAAGCATTATGCGTAATACTGTGGCGAAGTTATGCATGGGATCCCTGACGTGTGTATAATTGATCGCTCTTGAGCGATGTTCATTACGTGATTGCGTCATATGCGTTTACGCAAGTGCAGTGTGCAATTTTTTCCAGCCAGGTGTACAAGGTTCAAGCGTGCAGTTTTGAGCATGATTGTTTCAGGCGATGGGGGCACTGCCTTTCTGAAAGCAGCATGCCGCTCCCCCTTCTCCTCCCTCTTCGCATCCCCCTTCTCATCCCCCGCCCCCTCTCCCCCTTTCGGCTCAGCGTGCGGGTGCTAGAGTTGTCAGGATCAATTGTTGACGATGACCTGCACGAGATGTGGTCAGCGATCCTCCGCTCTGCCTGTGCACTCCTCTCCGTCGTTGCCGTGGCGGACGCCAGAGGCACGCTCTCCAGCATCCACGAGGGTACCGCATTCGGGCTGGTGAGACGCCTGGCGGCGGCGACGCCCAAGGAGGCCACCACTCCCGCTGTGGAGACGACAGGTGCAGCTACTACAATATTGCCTGGAGACAGCGCTGCTCAGACGGGGACGACTGGAGCGGCTACTACGGCAGCGCCCGAGGAGGCCACCACTCCCGCGGTGGAGACAACAGGTGCCGTTGCTACGACACCATTTGGGGACAATTTTTCTCAGGCGGTGACGATTGGCGCGGCTACTACGGCAGCGCCCGACCAGGCCACCACTCCCGCGGTTGAGACGACAGGTGCGGTTGCTACGACACCATTTGGAGACACTACTGCTTTGGCGGGGACGACTGGCGCGGCTACTACGGCGGCGCCCGAGGAGGCCACCCTTCCCGCGGTGGAGACGACAGGTGCTGTTACTACACTATCACTTGCGACTGGCGTGGCTACTACGACAGCTCCCGAGGAGGCCACCACTCCCGCGGTGGAGACGACAAGTGCCGCTACTATACTAACACTTGCAGACAGCACTGCTCAGGCGGGAACGACCAGCGTGGCTACTACTGCGGCGCCTGAGGAGGCCACCACTCCCGCGGTGGAGACGACTGTTGCCGTTGCTACGACACCACCTGGAGGCAGTACTGCTATGTTGGGGACGGCCAGCGTGGCTACCACGGTAGCTCCCGAGGAGGCCACCACTCCCGCGGTGGAGACAACAGGTGCCGCTACAACTCTTCTGCCTGCAGACAGTACGTCTCAGGCGGGGACGACTGGCGCGGCTACTACGGTGGCGCCCGAGGAGGCCACCTTTCCCGCGGCGGAGACGACAGGTGCGGTTGCTACGACACCATCTGGAGACAGTATTGCCCAGGCGGGGACGACTGGCGCGACTACTACAGCCGCGTCTGGGGAGGCCGCCACTCCCGCGTTGGAGACGACAGGTGCTGCTGCGACGACACCATCTGGATACACTACTGCTCATGCGGGGACGATTGGCGCGGCTACGACGGCCGCGCCTGGAGAGGCCACCACTCCCGCGGTGGAGATGACAAGTGCCGCTACTATACCATCACTTGCAGACACTACTGCTCAGGCGGGAACGACCAGCGTGGCTACCACGGCAGCGCCTGACGAGGCCACCACTCCCGCGGTGGAGACGACTGTTGCCGTTGCTACGACACCACCTCAGGCGGGGACGACTGGAGCGGCTACTACCGCAGCGCCCGAGGAGGCCACCACTCCCGCGGTGGAGACGACAGGTGCGGTTTTTACGACACCATCTGGAGACCAGGCGGGGACGACTGGCGCGGCTACTACGGCCGCGCCCGAGAAGGCCACCACTCCCGCGGTGGAGACGACAGGTGCGGTTGCTACGACACCATTTGTAGACACTACTGCTCAGGCTGGGACGACTGGCGCGGCTACTACGGCGGCGCCCGAGGAGGCCACCACTCCCGCGGTGGAGACGACAGGTGCCGTTGTTACGACACCACTTGGAGACAGTACTGCTCCAGCGGGGACGACTGGTGCGGCTTCGACAGCAGTGCAAACAACCGGTGCGGTTGCTACGACACCATCTGGAGACATCACTGCTCAGGCTGGGACGACTGTAGCGGCTTCTACGGCAGCGCCCGAGGAGGCCACCACTCCCGCGGTGGAGACGACGGGTGCCGTTGCTACGACACCATCTGGAGACAGTACTGCTCCGGCGGGGACGACGGGCGCGGCTACTACGGCAGCGCCCGAGGAGGCCACCACTCCCGCGGTGGAGACAACAGGTGCCACTACTACTTTTTTGTCTGCAGACAGTACGTCTCAGGCGGGGACGACTGGCGCGGCTACTACCGTGGCGCCCGAGGAGGCCACCACTCCCGCGGTGGAGACAACAGGTGCCGCTACTACATTTCTGCCTGCAGACAGTACGTCTCAGGCTGGGACGACTGGCGCGGCTACTACGGCGGCGCCCGAGGAGGCCACTCCCGCAGTGGAGACAACAGGTGCCGCTACTACACTTCTGCCTGCAGACAGTACGTCTCAGGCGGGGACGACTGGCGCGGCTACTACCGTGGCGCCCGAGGAGGCCACCACTCCCGCGGTGGAGACAACAGGTGCCGCTACTACATTTCTGCCTGCAGACAGTACGTCTCAGGCTGGGACGACTGGCGCGGCTACTACGGCGGCGCCCGAGGAGGCCACTCCCGCAGTGGAGACAACAGGTGCCGCTACTACACTTCTGCCTGCAGACAGTACGTCTCAGGCGGGGACGACTGGCGCGGCTACTACCGTGGCGCCCGAGGAGGCCACCACTCCCGCGGTGGAGACAACAGGTGCCGCTACTACACTTCTGCCTGCAGACAGTACGTCTCAGGCTGGGGCGACTGGCGCGGCTACTACGGCGGATCCCGAGGAGGCCACCACTCCCGCGGTGGAGACAACAGGTGCCGTTGCTACACTTTTGCCTGCAGACAGTACGTCTCAGGCGGGGACGACTGGCGCGGCTACTACGGCGGATCCCGGGGAGGCCACCACTCCCGCGGTGGAGACGACTGTTGCCGTTGCTACGACACCACCTGGAGACAGCACTGCTCCGGTGGGGACGACAGGCTCGGCTACTACAGCAGCGCCCGAGGAGGCTACCACTCCCGCGGAGGAAACGACAGAAGCCGTTTCCACAACCATCTTTGGAGACGGAACAGCCCAAGCGGGGACTACAGGCGTCGCCATTACGACACCGACGGTAGGCGCCGGTATCCTTGACGTTTGCGCAACATCGCCGCCCACCAACAAAGGCAGGTCATTCTTGACATTGTCCTTGAGTGGTCGGTTGCCGAGAGGTGCGGAGGGTGGGGCCAGACACGGCAGCGAGGAAACGATCATAGCGTGGACGAACAATCGCAAATTTGTTCACCATAATGCGCTTGGCTAGCTGGCGGCGCCGCTTGGTGTCGGCGGGGAGGGTACAGGCGGAGGAAGAAGAGAGATCTGATGCGGCCTACGGTGAGGAGGAGGGGGGTGAGGAGGTGAGAGGGAAGGATGAGGATTTCCAGGAGGAGAGGCGAATGCCAGGTATGTGTCTCGAATGGCCACTGTGTCATTCCGCATTGTCACTGCGCACGCGAATCCCCCAATGAGCGCGCCTCGTGGGCCAGGTGAGCTTCCGGTTCAGCTATGGTCTTGATGTGCGTGTGCCTGAGCCCAGCATTCGTGTAGACCTGTTGAGTCGTCTTGGGGCCAGCTTGGGGGTTTCTTGGAGCTATCGTTGTCCTCCTTGGGGCGCAGGACCCTCCTGGTCCTTGTGGGGGCCCTCTTGGGATATTATCATTTCTTAGGTCGGCGCTTTCTTAGGTCGCCTCGTGCTTTTTGCGCGAGAAACTCATTGGGGCCCGTCGGAACCTTTTCGGGCTCTTTGACACAAACGGGATCCTGTTGGGCTCGTCGTGGGCCCCTTGTGGGCCGCTTTGGGCCCCTCTTGGACCCCTTTGGGGCTGTCTTGAGGCTTCTGAGGCCCATTCGAAGGAACCAAGTCCATAATGCAGAAATCATGG